CACTCTCCTAGCCGACCCACTTGACTTTTATTCATGAAAAACTTGAGTTACAAGAAAGACAATTTTGTCCCTCATAGAAGATGGGACACATAACTTAAACTCAGATACAATAGACACTTCACTTTCAATAAGATACACCAGAATGACCAAAATACCCCTGACTCGAGCATTATAACACAATCAAATTGGAGAATGAAGCTGCTTTCTGGTCGTGGGGAAGAGAAAGACTAAAATGAAGGTTGGTTGGAGATGACTGTAAAATTTCTAGAAGATATCTGTCCAAGTCTCCAAAGCTGAAATCTGAGAAGGCCTTATAGGTCAACATCCAAGAATAGATCAAAACCAGGATCTGCCTTTTAAGATCCTCCAAGGAAGACCCCCTGTTTTCAAAGCTTTATTAGAACTTTATTTTTTATAAGTCAAAGCTTTATTAGAACTTTAAAAGAAGATTTTATATCATGAGTGTGCCAAGAACCCCTTTTTATATGCTAACCTCTCAACTACACCTTAATTTTCATAAGCCATTTACAAGTTACACGAATCAATCTCCCGCCAAAATAATGAGTCCCTGGACCTCCAAAGTGTATGCCATTGTGTTGGCACTCCTAGATTTCCAATGAAAGGTGATTTCCAGCTAATCTTCCAGGTGTCTAATCTCCCATACATGATACCTGTATTTCCAAGTTCCCTTTGTGTTGTTTTTAAGCCAAACCACCACTAATTTTGTACCCCCCCCCCCACCATGATACATTTGTATTTCAGTATTCTAGGTCTAAACCGCTGTGATGGGTTGAAAACATTGCACAGAATAATTGCTACAACTCTACTCTTTTTCCTTGATAAAAATGAACCCTATGGTAGCAAAGAAAGCTATGGATCTATGTGGATGTGGGTATGTGTGTTGGAATCTGAGATGGGTACAAAGTGTCCAACACGACAAGACTGAGAAAACAAATAAGATTGAGGAACTTAATGGATACACTTTAAATTCAAATGTCAAATTCTATATTGCATAGACATACTTTTGAAAATTTTATGTTTCATAGTTATAACATTGAAAGGTAAATAAAGAAAATCTCAAGCTTATAAAATTTTTAATATGAAAAAACCTGTGAATGAAGATGAGTCCAGAACAATTTATCCTAGACAGGTAAAAGAAGTGACAAACTAGATTTTCCATATAATTAATTAGAACTTGGTTTTATATCTTAATATTCTATTCTTTTGTCAGCTTAGCCTCTTAGGTCAGCTAATGAATTGGTGAATTATTTGGCTACAAATGGAGTTCACAAAGACATATTGTAAATGCAGAACAAGCTTAACTGTGCAAGAGTTTCTTCATTTCTTCTAATTAAGTTTTATTTGCTAGACATCAAAAGAAAAACTTACAAAGACAGGTGGTGCTTCCTCTTCCCCATCCTCCTTCCAAAACTTTACTTTACGGAAGAATATTTCTGCACTTCCTTTTGGTACCTCACCACGATCTGTGTTCATTTAAACAAACTATGATTATGTTATACACATCTCTTCAATAGTTAATACTGAAACTAGTGCATACCACTCTAATCTATGTAAACTAATTAGTTAAAGCACCAAAGAGAAAAAGAGAAAAAATATATTACTCACAACCTAGAATAGAGAAGTTTTAGAAATAGAAAGAAAAAAAGTAAAGGTAGAAAATATAATACCATGACAACAGCACAAATATGAAAATGTGTGCCTTTTGATATCTTATAGTTGGGATATATTAAAGTGTGAGACAATGCAAAGACAGTTGTCCCACAAAACCATGCAATATAATTTTTCTATCAACAAATATAATACTTTGACAACAGCACAAATATGAAAATGTATGCCTTTTGATATCAGAAGAAAAACAACCTTCTGAAATAAACGGACTGATTCAGATAGTACAAAAAGGTGATAGAGAACAGCAGAAAAGAGAAGCAAGAGAAGAGAAGAAGAAGAAGAAGAAGAAGAGGAAGAAGAAGAAGAAGAAGGAGATGGCGGCAAATAGGGTTTAGAGAAGGATTTTCGAATGAATCCCCTCTTACCCCCTAATCACTTTTCATTAAACATAATTTACAATATTTACAGAGAAGCCCTTAACTGGGCAATTAACTTGAGTACACATAACATAAGAAAGGCCCATTTTGAGGCCCAAGATAAATAAAACAACCTATGGGCCATTCGGCCCATTCTCTCTACACCTCAAGCTGAGCATAGATGTCAATCATGCCAAGCTTGCCAGTATCATGTTGAAGTTTGGCCTTGGAGATTCCCTTGGTAAGGATGTCAGTTAACTGTTCTTCAGAAGTAGTAAATGGAAGACAAACTTCTCCAGAAGCCACTCTTTCTCGGATAAAATGCCTGTCAACTTCAATATGTTTAGTCCTATCATGTTGCACTGTATTGTGAGCAATGTTGATGGCAGCCTGATTATCACAACATAACATTAATGGCTTATCATACTCAACACCCAGTTCCTCCATCAAGGATTGAAGCCAAAGTAACTCAGAAACTCCATGAGCCATGGCTCTATACTCGGCCTCAGCAGAAGATCTGGCAACAACCGGTTGTTTCTTGCTTCTCCAATAAACAATATTACCTGCCACCATGCTACAGTACCCAGAAGTTGACCTCCTATCAACAATGTTTCCTACCCAGTCAGCATCTATGTAAGCCTCCAGTTTCATATGACCATACTTAGCAAATAGAATTCCCTTCCTAGGAGAACCTTTTAAATAACACAAAATTCGTTCTATTGTTGCCATATGAGTGTCTCTGGGAACATGCATGAATTGACTAATGCAACTAACAACATATGCAATATCCGCCCGAGTCATGCAAAGATAGAGCAATTTCCCAAGTAACCTCTGGAAGACTCCCTTATCCTTCAACAGTTTTCCATCTGAGGCAGAAAGTTTGTGACTCGTATCAATAGGAGTAGCCACTAGTCTTGCACCCATCTTGCTTGTTTCAGTGAGCAAATCAAGCACATATTTTCATTGAGAGATAAAGATCCCATCCTTAGACCGAGCCACTTCTATGCCAGGGAAGTACCTCAATTCCCCTAGATCTTTAATCTCAAACTCTGTATGAAGGAGAGATTTAAGATCATTAATCCCTGCTACATCAGTACCAGTCACGACTATATCATCAACATAGACAATAAGATATACCACCAAAGAGCCTCTCCTCTTCACAAAGAGGGTATGATCAGACTGAGTCTGTATATAGCCAAAATTAACAAGAGCAGCCCTAAACCTTTCAAACCATGCCCTAGGTGACGGTTTAAGTCCACAAAGAGACTTCTTCAACTTGCGCACCTTTCCCTCCATATCTGTGTCATACATCCCCGGTGGAAGAGACATATAGACCTCCTCATGCAATTCTCTATTTAGGAATGCATTTTTCACATCCAACTGATAAAGTGGCCAATCAGAATGAGCAGCCAAAGATAGTAGAACCCACACAAATGCCATTTTTGCAATAGGAGCAAAGGTTTCCAGATAGTCAATCTCATATGTCTGTGAATAACCTTTTGCAACCAGCCTAGCTTTGTACCTTTCAATGGTGCCATCAACATGGTATTTGATGGTGCAAACCCACTTATAGCCCACTAGTTCCTTCCCTTCAGGAAAATCAACCACTTCCCATGTGTCATTCTTATGCAGGGCATCAATTTCAGTTCTCATAGCATCCCTCAATTCTGGAACAGTAAGAGCTTCTGACACTGACCTGGGTATAGGGTTAGAAGCAACAGAAGAAAGATAGGCATAATATGAAGGATGAAGCAAACCATAAGGAAGGTGTTTGGAAATGCAAGGTGCAGTACACTTCCTTTTTCCTTTCCTAATAGCAATTAGGACATCAAAGATCTGGGAAGGAGGGCTCCAAAGGGACTGTATCAGTACCTGTTGTCTCTTTGGTAACTGGAAGTGCAGGAGGCTACTCCTAGTTCGCCGCTGGTACAACCTAGGACTAAAGAGAGGACGAGGAGGTAATGGAGGAATAGGAATATTGGAAGGAACATGAGATGATTGTTCCTCCCTTAACTCATTGGGAATAGAAGAAGGCTCAAAAGAAGACTCAACAGGGACAGGAAGGGGGAGAGCAAACAACTGTAACAAATTCTCCCCCTTTGAACAATGCTTCCCCAGAGAAGGATCATAGAAAGGAGTGGACTCATCAAAGGTCACATCCATTGAAACATAACAAGTTCTAGATTTTGGATCAAAATAGCAATAACCCTTCTATGTTGAGGCATAACCAAGGAATATGCACTTCTGGGCCTTTGGTTCAAGTTTATGTCTCTAGGTACTTGGAATGTGTACATAACAAGTACAGTCAAAGACACGAAGTGGAATAGGAAAAAGGTCCTTACCGGGGCGAAGGAGACTTAAAACCCAACACTCTGGATAGCATACGGTTAATTAGGTAGGTTGCAGTGAGAACAACATCCCCCCAAAATCTTATAAGAACATGTGAGGTAAACAGGATACTCCTTGCAACTTCAATAATGTGTCGGTTTTTTCTCTTAGCAACTCCATTCTGTTTTGGAGTTCTAGCACAAGAACTCTGGTGAATAACCCTCAAATCAATGACATAACAGGTTAGGTTCTTCTTAAAGTATTCTTTTGCATTGTCAGATCTGAAAATTTCGATTCTAATATCAAATTGGGTAAGAACAAATTCATGGAACTGTCTCACAAGTCTAGGAACTTCATCATGGGATTTCATCAAAAATAGCCAAGTATATCATGAAAAATCATCAATAAACAAGATAAAATATTTATAGCCACCCATAGAGGGTAAGTGGTATGGCCCCCACACATCAGAGTGCACAATATGGAATGGAGAAGATGATCTTGTATTACTCAAAGGGTAACTACTTCTACAATGTTTTGACAACTCACAGAACTCACAATGAAGACTGGACACATTAATTACCTTAAATAGTTCTGGTAGGGCTGTTCATAAGAAGACCCAACCCGACCAAATCGACCAACCCGGACCGACCAACCCGAATCGGCTAGGTTTTCTTCAGCACCGGTCGGTTTCGGGTTGTAAAAAATCATAAACTGATGGTTCGGGTCGGTTTCGGTTTTCATATGTGAAAACCGAAACCGACCCGAACCGAACCGACTTAGTAGTTAGTAATTAGTTCCTAGTTAGTATTTACAACCTACTTAGTTCCTACTTAACTAAGTTGTCTCTATCCTAGTTACAACCTAACTTAATTTCTAGTCTTCTAGTTAGGAATGACATTAATGGCAAGTATTGTAAGACAACTAGACAAGGAATTTTT